TCCCATACTAAGTAGACATAATATCTATTAGTAATAGTGAGAGTCTATCTATAAGATAGAAGAAAACGCACTGCGTGGCGATCCTAAAGTATACTATTTACAATGAGATCGAGTAACTGTAAAATATTGTCAACGGACATTGGTTGAATACCTACGTTATGATTATACTTACCAGAAGCCTGATCATGACAACGCAAAAGATTGGATGCATGTTCACACAAAAAATTATTCGCATATGGAAATCCAGTCAACGCAGAGGGTGGAGGGAAGCCATAGCGATTTGAAGAAGGCAATAGAGACAGCAAGCGGCTTAAAGCAGGTGTTCTCACACATCGATCGTGCCTTTCGCCAGCAACAACTACAAATAAATGGAGCTTTTGGTTTGAATATTGTTTCTGTTGATCCATTCATACGCAACAATAAGAGATTTGAACAGCTGCTTGAAAAAATTTCCAGATGAGCAATCAATCAAATAAAAAGAGAAATATATGAGACTGAAAATAATGATAATGCAAATAGTGATACTTGTAAATGCAGCTTAAAATTGAATTTTAAGCTACCATGTCACCACATAATTCCGTCGACAGGATCCATTCTGCTTTCTCTTATATATCCTCGCTGGTTTTTAAAGCATGATTCAGTACCCTTATTGTCTTCATTATCCTTATCAACTGACATAGTCATCAATAAGGCTTTATATAAGCTTGAAGAAAAATACGAATCCCTAAATGACTGTGGATCAAAAGTCACATTCTTGCAAAAAATCGAAGCCTTGGCTGCTGAAAAAAATGTAGTTCCAAAGGCACCATTGCGTATCACACCTAAAGGACAACCAACATCCACCAAGCGAAATTCTCTTCTTAGTGAACTTCAAGATAAAGCCGCCACAAAAAAAAGAAATATAAAAAAACCAATGCCTGAACTCATGAAAAGTCTGCAAAAATCACCACAACTCTTATATCATGATCAAATATCCACTTATATGCATAAATATATAAAAGAGGTAATAAATGTGGATGGCGATGGCAATTGCGGATACAGAATACTGGCTGTGTGTTTAGAAAGAAATAAAAGCGAATGGTCAGAGATGAAAAAAGAATTGCGAGAGGAATTGAATAAAAGGGAGCAATTCTACCAATCATTATTTCTAGTTAATGGTGATTATGCAGTGATTATAAGAGAGATTTCTTGGATGAATAGTCCTTGCACGTTCGAATACTGGATAAGAATGCCATTGATAGGAGATGTTATAGTAAACACCTATCAAAGACCACTATACTTTTTCTCACTACAAACAAATCTTACCTTCCTTCTGCATCATCATCCATTGAACTGAAATAAAGCTCTTGCAATGGCTTTTGTTAACAATAATCATTATGTAGCCATAATACTGAAATTTGGTACGCCTATATCACCAATTATTAATCGATAGATACAATTTGCTACCTTGGCAGCAACAAAATGGAAACTACTAATTCAAGATCGTATAGCCCAATTTCTTTTTGCAAGTAATTCAACCAGTAAAATGGTCTAGACAGGCAAGAAAAAATAGAGTAATGCAATAATAATTATCTTACAAATGACAACTCTATCAGCATCTCATAGAGAACATGAAATAAAGATTTTATAAAGAAAAATGTATATGTTCGTGCATGTGCGTGTGTGTAATTTAAAAATGAAGTTTGTTCGTTACATCATCGATAATTATGTGATCTATAAATCCAGGCAGTGATCCGGAAAGATCACATAATTCTGCACTAAAAATGATGCAGCAAGTATGTGATGCTTATTTGTCACCTGTTGCAACATGTTGCAACTCCAAAATTTTATAAGCTGCAACTAGTT